GGGGGGGGGGGGGCGTCGTGTGGGTGTTTCAAGGGCGCCCGCGCGGCTACCTTCCTTCCTGGGTCTGTTGTCGCGCAGGCCGGGAGCTCCCGCTCAGGCCGGGAGCTCACGCGCACGCCGCCGGGTGATCGCAGACAGGCAGGTAGGCAGGCAGCTGAAAAAAACCCCCTCTGGGGTCCTTGGGTCCTTCCTGGGTCTGTTATCGCGCAGGCCGGGAGCTCCCGCGCAGGCCGGGAGCTCACGCGCACGCCGCCGGGTGATCCTCATTAATATTTTCTTGCAATGAAAGTAGTCACTGGATCACAGTGACGATGATCACCCTACCATCAGTAGAACTCCAGGAAAATTAACATAGTTATGGGTGCATGGAGGGAAACATCACCATGGAAGGGAGATAAACATTGATGGGAAACTGTAGAATAAAATAAAACTAGAGAGGATGTGGAAGAAACAAAATGGAATGATAAGAGTGGAAATAGAAACCAGATGGAGAAATAAAACCTTGCAGCGCCCTTCTGTAAGAACCACTATACAGAGCAATCATTAAATTCGTCTTTTTGCCCCTATGTACTAAATATTACTCTGTTATTTGAAACTGTTTCTGTCAGTGTCAGAATACTGGTGCCATATACAGCCTTCCAAATGGATATGTTAATAGTGTAAAAATACTTTTCACTCCCATAAGGCCAGAGCTCTGGTATTCTGCAACTCCCTAAGAGGATTTCACCAAGCACAGAGCATGGCACAAGAAAAACTGTAATGATTGCATTTCCATAAGACCAAACTGTGGTCCTAGTTTGGAAACTTCACCTAAAGCTTGGGGATGTCCTTCCTAAAGACAAAGAAACATTTCACTTTAAAGAAAGTCAAGACGATGATGACATGCAGGTGCTCTACTTAGTCACCTCACTGAATTGTCGAGCCACTGGAGCAGCCACCTATGTCTGGTTTCAATAAACATATCCAGCAATGAAGAAGGGGGAAAGCCATTTCTCCAGGAGATGTTCTGGGGTGGCGTGTAAATTAAATTCAGTTGTGAGCCTTACAAAAAGCCTTCTCCCCAACTCACTTCATGTTTCTGTCCTGGTCCCATGAGTCTCCATGCAATATTCCGTGGTACTTATTGTCAAAATGAGGCTGCTGTTAAGAAATGATTTCTTGTTAACTTCCACATATTTTCTAGTCACCCAATCAATCTCAAACAACATATGCTACACCTTTTTCCTGGACAAACAGTAGCAGTGAAAATATCTCCGAGTCATACATTATAAACCTTTTATTTAGATAATTAATAACCAGGAGGTTGAATTTGATAAGCCAGATCATACAGAGCAACTCAACATTGAAATAATAAGAAAGGAGTATAGAAAATTTAGGAAGAAATGATATGGTAAAAATTCATATGAAATTTGGCTTTCAGAAAATTAAAATTTCTAATAATGAAATATAATTCCAAGATAGGAGTCTTATTGATCAGATTTTGTAGGTCCTGCAACAGAAATCCATATTAAAATCCAAATTTAATTATAATCTTTTAATTTTTTCTTTTTGGAAAAAACCAGTTGCATAATCAACAATTCAGAATATATTATAAATTGTTCCTTCCCTGTTAAGTGGATGTAATATGATTTGCTCTGTTATTATGGTTCTGAGTATCCATTAAAAATTACATTTTAAAATGTTACATGGTTAGTCCAGACCTCAGTTTGTCTTTCCCCTTCATCTAATACCCAGTGCCGCACATGGCATCTTTTTGAATGAGTTAGTGAAATGGTAACCTGCAAAGACAGGGTGACATTTTTCTTTCTAGCTTTAATTTTTTTATACAAAGTACAGAATACCTAATAAACTGTCTTAGTGATGTCTCACCAATTCTGTCTTACCCCTAATTAACCCTTTTCTTAAAACAGAGGAATATGATGGATTACTTTGGACATTTTGGTTGCCCTCTTTGAAAAGAAGTCAAAGATACTACCTTTTGAAGTACCATTTGTTCTTAACAACAGTCTTTCTGCGAAACAAGATGAAACTATTTTTAATTTTTTATCTCTTGTCATGAGAGAGGAGTTTTGAGTCACACAGTAAATGAACAAACAGCTATCTTCAAACAGAAATGAGTCAAAGGAAACAAAGGTGTATCACATTTTCTAAAGATTCCTTCATTTTTCCTTCCTGTTTGAAGATGTCACATTGAATCTATGTGGCTGATGATTACTGCCTTAAAGTATTTGGAAGGAAACAGAGAAACCCGCCCGTGTGTTCTTCCAACTGCCAACGACCAGTGATAATTTTCCAGGAAGTCTTCCCTATCTGCTGATGGAAATGAAGAATGAAGCAACACACTCGTAGTAGCTTGATCTGTAAAGCTTGTTGTTTCTCCAGAAGAAAGGATGCTTAGACTTCACTCTGAAGGGTAAAATAAGAAGAAACTGTTCTGAAATCACAGAACCAGTGGAATATTGAATCTACCTTTCCCTAAATTCACTGCTAAACTTCGCTGGTAATCACAGCTATGCGGGGTGGGGCCTAGGAGCAGTTTCAGGAAAGTCACTAGAAGATGAGCCCTGCATAACTCCCCCTTCGCAATGCAGTCATGAATATTCATGATAGGATATTCATTTCACTGCCTGGCACTAGGAGAAAGATTTCTGAATTAGCATGCACAACAGAGTACACAGCATTACTGGAAGTTGAAGCCAATGCTGGTCTTCTCTAATCTTTGTTAAAATCTGTTTCTGAGATCCTGCCTATTCTTCTTGTCTCTAATCACAGCAGCCGAAGTCATAAACTCAATGAAAACAATGAGAAAATTAAGTCAGCAAAACACAAAGAATCACCCAAATGATTGCCAGGAAGTGTAATGAGAATCCTCCAACATTCTATTGAACTGTGTTCCCAGCACACCCAGGAAGCGAGCAGGACAACGGTATATAATTGCCTTCATATACAGTGACTTCCAATTCAGGGTTTTTTTTCCTCAAGCGGTGTGAGGAATTTTAAAATCACACTGGTGGGTGAAGTACGGAACTTTTTCTAAAATGTGTGAATAAAAAAAAATGAAGGAAATAAAGAATAAAAGTAAAGAGAAAAAAACACTGTGTGGAAGGCACAGTTTAATAGTTATTGGGCACAATGAGAATCTGATTGCTGAGTGCAAACAAACAGAACCCGTAGCTGCCGAGAACTTCCTGAGAAGACAGCAGCCTTGAGAGATGAAAGGCTACAAGCACATTTCCTAAAACTTCATTATGAGTTGTGTTTGCCACAATAGTTCTGAGTCAATTTTAATACTTAATGGGAACTACTGGACACTTCTTTCTTCTATCTTATAATATATGCATTTCCTTTACTTTCCCAGAAATCAACTATATGCATATTTATGCACAAAAACCATTTGTTATTTGAAAAGTTAAATCATTATTATTTCTTTCAATATTCTTTTTTATTACATTTAACTTATTTTCCAAGGGCTGTATTAATAATCTCAGTTGCATGGGGGGGTAAATGATAAAGAGCAACAATGTGGACAAGTTTATTCACAGGAGAGTGGGCAGAACTCGAAGCGTCGTTAAGCCGGAGAGACAGGCAGCAGATATGCGGCAGATACTGAAAAATTTATACCATTTAAGGAATAGAAGTATCAGAGAAATAAATGTGCTAATGAAAGCAGTCAGTATAATTTGAAGAACATATGTTTATGTAGACTTGTTACTTTAGTGTTGCATAGACCCAAGGAAAAGCGACTTTCCATGCTGAGGGAAGTCCGGGCAGAGCAGTGAGACCGGAAGAAAGGCTCAGGGAACTGGCAGCTGGGGAGCACGCAAGCTCAGGCCCTGACGACTCTCAGGGTAAGCACGCCCGAGGGCACGGCGCTCGCCTTGTATGGAAAATGTACGGAATGCGTGCGAGGCGAGGCCGCCCAGCTCACTACAGTGTCCAGAGCTAGCTCTCCTCTGTGTGTCAGAGCTGGGACAGCAATTACTTTACGGATCACACTGGAAACGACAGGGCTCCGAAATGACAAAGGACGGGTGGCAAAACCTAGCTAGGTGGAAGTTAACAGTGAAAATCAAAGTTGAAAAATAATTAAGGATTTCAAGGGACTCTGAGCTGCTGAGGGTTAAGTAGAATGACCCCAGAACACAGTATTTTCAGGAGAAAAAGAAAACAGTCAGAAAACAAATAGCATCACTCAACTGACAACAGATAATAAATTAAGGAAAGATTAAAAGGGAATTTGAAGCCAAATGTCTATCAGCAGAAACTCACACTCCTTGTCAATTCTGAACTTTAGACTTGAAATTTTCTCAGACCAGTGGAAGCCATGTGTGGTAAGGGTTATCTCAGTCTTTCCGTGGAGGGGCCTTGTCTCCTCTCATGGGTTACAGAACACTGGGGAGAAGAGAGAGGAGGACCTTTGGGCCCAGACTCTGAGCTGCCGTGATACCTTACTACTCTGTTTCCTGTTAGACTGTCAATAAGAGTGACCAAAGGAGAGATTCCTGGCTAAAGTCAGCCATAGTTTTCCACCAGGTCCTTTCCCCCTTCCGGTGGGCATTTCTTGTCTCCACATCCACAATTTGGACTCCCGTACTTAGCACTGGATTGAACTCCCACATGGAGTTTAGTCTGTCAGGTAAGAACTTGCGTGCTAAGAGAGGACAAACGCAAGACTGAAATGATCTCACCCTTCCCCACAATGTGAGCAAACCGGAAGCAGTGCTAGACCTAGGTGTGCGCTGGAGCAGAGGCAGGTGGAGGACAGCCCTGGGCAAAGATGAGTTCCTCTACCAAGGATACAAAGGACACCAGATTGGTGATCTCTATTATATTCCTGTTGAATCTCCATTCTGTCCAATACAGAAAGAAGAGAGACCCTGGAAGGTGGCTGTGGTTCTGAAACCTCAGTGTCTCGAGTTGTACCTGAGGTGCCAGAACTGTTGGCTTCACTGGAACGAATCCCTGTGGCCCTGGGTACTCAGTATGTCAGCTTGAGGCTTGCTGCTTGGCTGGAGAAGATTGGAGCGGACGACCAGGGGCTCTTCAGCACCTGCCTCAGCAGCAGAGACCTGAGCTGCCTGGGGTCAAACACTTCGGGTGCAGCCCACTGAGGAAGGGGAGGCATAAAGCCCAAGCCATCTCACCTGATGTGGGCAAATCTGTATGAGCGGTAACCATCCCAGAGGGATCCAAAAGTACACCGAGGACAGGCAGGCCTTCTGTCCCTTTGCCCAGCTGCGCTTTCTCTTTTCCTCACTACAGTTGACCCTAATCTTGCATCAAGATCCCTCTTGGTGGCAGCTTCAACCTATGATATGTTGGATCCTCTTACACATTAGCAATCAGTAAGTGATTTCCCTCCAAGTTTATATCATCTTACATTCATAGATGCCATATCTGTATGTTCATTTCCCTGTGAAATTTGTATTTTGAAATCCTAACCCCCAAGACAATCACAAGAAGGTGTGAGGGCCTCAGAAGTGAATGGATCAAGAGGGTGGAGCCCTTGTGAATGAGCTTTGTGCCTTAATAAAAAATAACCTCAATGGGGCTTGTTTGCACTTTCCAGAAAGTGAGGACATGGCCAGACAGTGTAGGTGTGAGCAAGAGAGGAAGGCCCGGACACCGAATCTGTCAGTGCTTTGAAACTACTGGTCTTCAGAATTGAGGAAAATACACTTCTATTGTTTATAAACTGTCCTGGCTAGAGAAGTGAATTACAACAACCCCGAGAGAGGAAGACAGGGAGCGAGCACGACGGGTATCCTCAGAATTTATGCATTTCTGAATGACACACTTTCAGGTGAGTGTGGCTACTTGTGGACGACAGGATTTAGTCCCATTTCCACCGCCAGTAGGTTCAGTACATCCGGTAACCTCTCAGGATGTGGCCAGGGTGACACTACTCCCTCAAGCCCAGGGTTCTGCGTGTCCATATTTCATGGGCATCTGCACTGGATAAGAAGTCCTTGAGTAGTGACGTCTGTCTTTGAGGATGTTATTACTGTGATTCCTCTTTTATGGAAGAAGGATCCTACTGAAGAGCCAGTGAAGTCACCTGGAATTCATGCTATTTCCCGCTGTAATCTGCTGGAAAGAACACAGAATTTTTGTGCAATGCTGTGACTTCACTAGGCAGTGACTGCTGGTTGTCTCTTGTGTTTATATTCTCTGTGGTGTCTGAAGAACACAGTACCGAGACTTTCATCTTCCTTTTCCTGAGATTTGCTGTATTGTATTTCTTGACACAACTACCATGTTTGTGTTGAATCTTTTGTGGTTTTAAGTATGCAATGGTTGTTCCTCTTTGTTGTCTATGCTGATGATTTCCTTTGTCAAGTCTCTCATTTTATTTCCCTTGTTTTACTTTATGTGCTTTCTTGTGACCATGGAACCCATAGTCTCAATTATTCTTCTAGTTTCTTCTTTTCAGTAATGGTGTTCTTGTGCTTCAACTTCTTGACATTTCTCTGCTTCCATTTTCTCTGACCCTCTTCGTGCTTTCTGTTGGTTTGTTTGTGAGAAGGGATTGTGCTATTTCATCTAGGCAAGGCCTGAACTGTCATGTACTTGCACAGGGCTCCAGCTAGCTGGTAGTATAGGTGAGAGCCTTTGTTCCTGGCTAGTGTCTATCCTTCTTCACCTCCTGGTCTTATTTCCTGAATTATTGGCATTGTCTTTGTGTGGACCTTTTTTAGAGAGGCAGTGATATGAACTGAATATTTGTATCCCGTCCAAATTCATCTAAATCTTAAACCCAAGGTGACACTAGAATAGTACTTTTTGGGAGGCAACTAGAAAATGAGGGTGAATCTTTTGTGATTGAGGTTAATGCTTCTATAAAATTGGCCAGAGGGAGATATCTCTACGATTCTTTCATGTAAGAGCAGAGCAGTAAGATCCTCTTTATAAGAAAGTGAGCCCTTACCAGATACCAAAATAGCCAATGTCCTAGTCTTGGTTGTCCCAGCCTCTACACATGCTTGACATAAATTCTGTTCTTTATTAGCTACCTAATTCGTAGTACTCTGTTCTAACATCCAGAGCAGAAAATTACTTAAGACTATGTGGCACCTGATTAAATTTATTATAAAAGCTTTGGCTACAAAGTTATAACTTTTATTGAAACTCAGTAAGTATTCATATGTACATGTATATTTGAATATATGAAAAATAAACAACTCAGTTTTATAAATAAAATCAGCCTGGTAATCTGTAGACAAATCAGTAAACACAGAATTGTCCTGTCTTCCAACAACATAAACTTTTGTTTTTGAGTTTTGATAAATACAGTTGTTTACTATACATTTCTTAAAATCGTGCTTAGCCAGGCATGGTAGCACACAGCTGTAATCCTGCACCCTGGGAGCCTGAATATTTGGATCAAAAGTTTGAGTCCCAGCTGG